TCTGATGTGAGCGTGACAATCTCTGAATTGATCCAGTCTTGGACTTGGTCTCTGGATAACATACCTTCTTCAATCGATTGGCCAGGTGCCCCAGTATAATATGCATCACCAAGCATATCATGTCTTAAAGAAATTATAGACATCATCATCAGAGTTTCCATGAACTGGCTTATCTGAGTTTTCAATCAATCATCTTCCTGCTTGAAGAAATTTCTGACTACGAGCCAGAGCTTGCATGTATATTGCTTGGATTGATCTCTGAGCATGTGCAGTGAGAAATCAGGTTGAACCTTTGAATAGAAACCCCAGGTCTGAATAAGAATCCCCAATCTTTGGGTACCTACTATGAATGCATGAATATGCATGGGGTGCATGAATGAATGCCATGTCATGTTCTGTCATTTCCAAGGAATTTGCGTGCTTTGATTTTGATTTTACGCAAGTAAGAGATGGAAGAGTTTAGCACAAGGCTTGCGAATATGATTCCTTGGAAATAATAGAACATGTATGTTAGGCATGGGGTTAGCCATGTTATGTACGCAAAGGCATGAGATCAAATAAGATCAAGGTTCCATCATTCCTTAATATGATTGATGCACTGCTCTGAATCGTGTGAGTATCATTAGATTAAAGGTCTGGCACAACTTCTACATATATAAGAACCAAGTACCATGTAGACATCTCAATATACAGGACCAAGGCTTCCGGAACATCGGATACTGTTGAGAATTTCTGAACATGCTGGGAATACCAAGATCGAAGGCCCGAATGAATCTCTAGGTAAACAAGTCAGGAACTCAGAAAATAAATCTGAGAACCATACGGTCACCACCAAGATATAGCATCTGCATAAAGTCATAACAAAAATCCAGAATATAGCCATCAGAACCGATAGTCACTGCCTGAGCATAATCATCATCTGAACACGAGTAACCATCTGCACATAGTCACCATCTGTACCTGTGATAGAAATTCCCTCCCCACTCACGGGTCAGGGTAAGATAATGGTAACTCGAAAATCACGGGTTCGCTTGAAAGTGCTATGGGCTTGCCCACAGACGTGGGTGCCGATAGTAATTCATTTGAACCTCATCCGAGCGTGGTATATGACATGACTTCACTAATCGGACCACGTCCTATAGTTGTCATGCCCCCACTCTATTCCTAGTGTCCTAGTGCACTATGGCCTGGGTACTGGGCCTTTTACCTCAATAGTGACATCCCAACCCAAACAAGAAGCAAATCCAGTACAACATTGGTATATGGAAAACAGTAAAATGTATGCTCAAGTATATACGAAATGAATGAATAAACTGAAAGCGTAAAGATAAACACCCAAAGAAAGAAATAAAGAGCTAGGAGCGACTCCGGGATGGACCAGCATTTGGTCGATCTATTCCCCAGTGAAGTCGCTGATGTGTCTGCGATCGACTTAATGTCTGACGCTATCTTAACTGCAAGCGCACTGCCTATCGCGGTAGTAATAAAAGATTGTCGAATCCACAGGGACTTTGTAATCACTCTAGTGTTGTAAAACAGGTTGGTTTAGCTAAGGCGGAAATTGTCACGTTGGTTTTGGGAAGATTAAGGAAGGTAAACTAATTGATTCTAAAGCACTTATAAAATGAAATGGTCGGTATGCAATAGAGTCGACCTAAAGGATCTAATCGGACCTAGGCATATAAGGATGGTCAACTTGGTTTTGGGAAGATTAAGGAAGGTAAACTAATTGATTTTAAAGTAATTATAAAATGAAATGGTTGGTATGCAATAGAGTCGACCTAAAGGATCTAATCGGACCTAGGCATATAAGGATGGTCAACTTGGTTTATCTGTAGAATTAATCAGTTTAAAAACCCTCAACTCACACTTTCATGGTCGTATCTCGGATTATACGTCTAAAGCCCTATACCTGCTTTCGCTAGCCTATAAGTGTTTAGAAGTATTTTTTGGAAACTTAATTAATTCTAATTTGGTTTAAAGCGCTTTCACTGTATTTAAATCAAATGTCTAACTTTAGCTATCCGGTTAAAAACCTCACACTTTCGTGGTCTCGATCTAACCTATTTACTCTTCTTACTTTCGTAACAAAGGTTTTATTATTAAGCATAAAAAGTTATAACCAGAGTTAAGTTGATTAAAGTTTTAGCCTAAGTTTGATCAGATGCCTAATGTCTCTTACTATCCCATACCGACACTAAAGGTTTAGCTAGCCATGGAAATTATAATGAACGTATTGGAAATAAAAACAAACAAATATAGATTGGACATTATAAATAATAAAATAAACATGCATTAATTAATTAAAAGGTATGTAATACAATTGCAAAATAGAAACCTAAAAATAAAGCCAATACTTCAATCCCTCTTCCACAAATCGGAAACTCGGACTTGGTATCGGTAATATGACAAATTCTGAGGCTTGAATAATAAATCCTAAACTATGATAATAATTCCCTGATGTTGGAAAATTATTATTTGGGCAATGAAATTAAAAGAACGGAAATAAATGAATGCAGAAAAATAATAACTGAAGGAATAATGGTTTTGATTTTGGCAGAGCTTCCGCACAAGTAAACTGTAAAAATCTATGTACTTCTAACGTTGAATGTTGAGGTATTTATAGAAGAATGAATTTGGCAGTTGGCTTGAAGACTTGTAACGAAGCTTTCCTTAAAAATCTCCACAAATGTAGGAACGTGGGTAGTTGAGGAAGAAGTGGTGAACGTGGGGTTTGACTGGAGAGAAATAAGGAGTTTGAAAACTCCTTCTGTTTTGCTTTGCCACGTTATGCACTTTTCAACATAACTGATATATGCATTGCGTTCGTTACTGAGGCGTTACGAGCAGGTTTGGTGCTTCCCGTGTTACGGTCGTGGCCAATGTGTTACGGTCGTAACACGTTTCAAGATGTCTTACGGTCGTGGCAGATGCATTACGACCGTCACAGCTACAAAAATGTAATTCTTGACAGATTTATCTTTTTCTTCTGTTCTTTTGATGCTTTCTTGCATTGTTTCATGTTTTCTTCTGTTTTGAGCTGAGTTATGAATACCTGCAAAAAGTAATGAAAAACTCGAAATATTCGGGAGTTAATCGGGTCAAAATAATACAAAACGGGTAAATTTCATAGAAAATAAACGATACAATTTCGTGTTATCAGTCGCCAGCTGAAACAACCGACTGAAAATCATCAAAACAATGAAGTTGCCATCGAACTTCTTTTATCCCACATGTAGGGAAAGGTAAACATCGAGAAAACTGCAGAAGGGAGAAGTCACGGTCTTGCGACCGAGAGATCGGGTAAGGGAGTCTGTTACGCGAGGGGAAGGTATTAGCACCCCACACGCCCGTAGTACTTTACGGTATCCACTCTTGTTATCTATCTTATGGGTGTGTTTAATCTACGCTTACTGTTCATTATACTACTGGAAGGAATGCATGCAAAATAAAGGAGAAAAGAATGTAGGGAAAATAAAATTGTGCTCGCTTGGGCCCTACCCCAATGCCTACGTATCCATTTTGAGGAATCAGAGCTACTGTAGTTCGGCTCATATGTTTTTGTTTGTTTGTGTTGTTTTGTGGACGAAGTTAATTCCGCCTTCTGCCGTAGCTCGACCTTTGGAGACTTATGCGTTGGCACAGAAGTAAATTAATCGTGTCCTTACCTGAAAAGGGTTTCTTAGAAAAGTGCTCGAGCGCACAAAATGGTTTGAATTTGTTTTATATTTTTGTTGCAGATAATGACTGATTGACCTCAAGAGAGAGATATTAGCCATCTTTCTACTTACTCATGAAAGGAGTCTTTGAGAATTGAACCACACCTATGCTTGAGATGAAGAACAATAAGATCGAGAAGAGACCCACTTATCATTTCCCGTACTAAGCAAAAGCGTGATTCTCATCAGTAGTTTTAAAGTGTTTTGAATTTCGAAAAGAAAAAAAGAAGTTTTAGTTTTAGGTGCGTATGCAAAAAGGGAAAGAAAAGTCAAAGGGACTAACCTACTTCTAAACCTAATGTTATCGTGCGTTAGACCTAAAGTTAGAATTTGAGGGAATTCTACCTAATGTTAGCATGCGTATGATTTATGATAACGCCCTATTTCTAATGATTTCTATAAAGTGATAACGAATTGCAATAAAATGATGAGAAATGTAAGAGTATTAGCGGAGGCTACCAAAATGAGCAAATCGTCAAGAGCGAACGAAAGCACTGAAAAAAGCAAGGAGTACGCGTCAAGCAAGCTTCACCAAGAAACAAACAGAGTCAGAAACAATATTCGACTAATATAAAGGTAAATGCGTGTTGCGTATGCAAAGCATAATCAGAAGTTCCTCGCACAATGAACAAACGCGTCAAAAACAATGAGGCACAACATAAGAAAATATGAATAAAACTAAAAGAAAAAGTATTTTTATTAGTTTTTTCGTGTGGAAAATTCTATTGAAGACTAAAGAATTAACTCCTAAATTTTATTTAAGAAATTTTAACAAGTCTTTTTTTTATTGAGTTTATAATTTTATTAACATAAAAACATTAAAATTAAAAAGTGAAACAATGAATGAAATTAAAAGAAAGACATAGATTAACCCCAGGGATATAAACTGAATTCAGGGTGTATGGCTTAGTAAGGGCGCTGGGCCCAACTGGTTGAGTCCACGCCTAGTTTTATTTTTTTTTTGCTTACAAATTAGTTCCAAAAACGGTTCGCGAGCTAAAGGGAGGTTAACGAAGCACTCAGGCCCAGCAAAGTTACTTGGATCCACAATTTTATTTTATTACAATTAAAAGAAAATAAAAATAAATAAATAAATAAAAATAAAAAATGAAATTGAATTAGGAGTAGGGTTTTAGAGAAAAGATTCAGCTTCTTGTTTCCTCTCCTCTCTCGCGGCGTACACCACCTTACGTCGTCTTCTTCTTCCGTCGCCTCAACCTCTTCCGATCCGCCACCGCCACACACAGCTCCGTCTCAAACTCACTTCTCGAAACTCCATCTATGTGGCGACACGACACTATCACCTTCCTTCCTCCGCTTCAAGTTCCGATCCAACTTGTGTTGTCTCCGATCCAGATTTCCAGCCGCGCCTCTATGGGGCCATTGATTGGCATGCTTTCCTCTACATACTTATACAAAGAAGTCACGAAGAAGACAAAAAAAGTGAGTTTCGGATCTTACCGTCGGAGGCTTTGCAACGCTGTTCCGTAGTCACCGTCTTTGAAACAGAAGTTCAGAAATCAATTCAGGTACGACGTCATTTGATTTCTTCCACTCGATCTTCTTCTTCTCATCCCTGCGAATTTCTTCTGTTCTTGCGTCTACTTTCTTTGTGTGCAATCGGTAATGTTAATTGCCGCGTTGTTGATGCGTTTACTATGAACCATCAGAGGGATTGAAAGGAGAGTTTGGAGGTCTTAGCTTTGTTGATTAGGGTTTCAGAGGTTGAAAACTCTAAAAACAATGGTGATGAGCGTATATGTGAGGTTAGGGATGGAGAAAATCAGAGAGTGAAGAGAGGAAATTGAAAAGTGAAACTGAAGAATTGGTGAAAAAAAACATGGTGTGAAATTTGGAGGGAGCAGAATATATATAGGCACTAGGTTCGGATGAAGGGAAGGTTTGGGAGTTAGGTTCGGAGGGTTAAGTTTGCTCAGGAGTTCTTTATCTCAGCTTAGGAGTCAGTTACATAGGTTTGGGTGATTTGAAGTTAGGCTTGGAATCAGGTGGAGCAGCTTCGGTTTCAGTTAGGAGCTTGAGTTGATAAGGTTTGTGTGAAACAAATGCTAGGTTCGATATAGTAATGTTAAGATTGGGAGTTTGTTATTGAAGAGGGAATCAGTTGGAGGAAGTTGAATTCTAAACCCTTGGATTTGATGGATCAGTTTTTTCTGTTATGCATATGTTGTTCAGAAGTTGGTTACAGGTTTGTTAAGTTAGTTACAATTAGAAAATTTTGTTTTGGTTTGTTGGGAATTAATAACTGTTTCTTTTTGTAAAAATGGTTGAGAGTTTGAGAAGGTTAGAAAAAATAGGTCTTGATAATTGTGTATTGCGTGTAAAAACGATGTTAATGGCTGTATGTGTGTGAGAGATGTGTGTTCGTCAGATTTTATTGTCATAAAATACTATGCGCGTGTTACACACTATTTTGAATGTGTCTGTAGTTATTATGATATCACAATCTTAGTATTTGCATGTGGCTGAATTGTTGTCAACATGACCCATATGGATTTATGTTGTAGTTTCTATCTAGTCTGCTGATGATAGCATTGTATTACCCATGTGAGAGCTTTCGCCTGTGTGTTGCTTTCAACACTATTTGATTTAATAACGCTGTGTTGTTTTGAGAGTGTCCTGATCACATGCATATTTGTTCAAGTTTCACCATATTGCTGTGCTAAGTGATCCTGCAAACAGATGCTAATTTGCAGTTGTGTTTGTGTAAAGCAGTGAACTGAGTGCGGTGACTAACACTACTTTGTTTGATTTTACTTTAGCATTGACTGTGATAATTAATCATGTGTGTGATCTTCTTTATTCAACGCCCTATTACCTTGTGAGTGCTATAAGATATGTATTATGTATAAATGTTATGTGTTGCAATGTAGTCGTAATGTAAGAGCTAATATGAGAAAGATGATAAATTAAGAAAAGTTGTTAGGTTATAGTTATAGAGGTTAGGATTATTTAAGTTATATTTGTTATTACAATTTGAGATGGACAGTACTGCACTAAACTATATTATGCATATATATTATTTTATTCATTACTGAGCTGTTGTTGATTAATTGCAGGACATGGCTGGTTCCAAGCGTCGAAGCATGTTTGTTGTTTGGCATAACTTAGTTTTGGATACAGGACAAGACTTGGGGTGGAGAGCAAGAACAACTTGAGACGGACTTATGGAGATCTTCTCAAGCCAAGCAAAAATGAATGAAGGCATAAAAATCTGAGAGAGCAGTCACCAATTTGTAATAAAATTTTGTACCGTCGTATGTGATGGATGTTTATTGATACTTGATATTGCCTTGGTATAATGTATTAGGTGCCATGAAATGATCTTATACTTGATAGTATAATGGCAACCCTAAAATACTCAAAGCGAATTTCCCTTTCGTTAATTTCTTTCTTTGCTTTTGTAATTATGTTGACAAAAAATGATGATGACTTTGTAATATAACGAGAACCTTCGAGTTCGAATGGCAAAAATCCGAATACTTCAAGTAGCTTTCTCTCCCGCTTCTAATTTTGTATTTGCTTCTAGATGAGTCATGGAGATTGATCCATCAAGGTCTTGAATAATCAAACTTCCCTTGACATTTATGAATGGATCACTAAGCTTTAATAACCTCAAATGATTGAATGAACTTTAAACTTGATTATGACTCGATTTCCTAGTAAACGCCTCTTTCACTTTAATACTAATATGAACTTCAACCGAGTTTGAATCGTCATGAAAACCCCTATTTCAACTCTTCCATCCATGTTAACTTGTATCTCAAACAACACGCTAGTATCTCAATCACCATTTCATCTTTATACCACGATTTAAACTTTGTAATCCATTCCACCAATGCACCTCAATAAACAACCAATGACCTTGAAGTTAATGTCACGGAGAAAATCTTGTAGATAAGAACAATTAGAAGCATATAACTGACGATGATCACAAGGTCCTGAAATCCCTTGAGATGCACTTTGATGGTTTAAAAGCCCATGGTGAAGATGCCCTTGTAGCTTGATAAGAAAGAAGTCCATAATAGCCATGCATCCAAAACCCTATCTTCAAACCATAATTGTCGAAGAAACCAACTGATTCAAGCCTGAGTGAAGATGAGGACCGTCAACGCCATAAAAACCCTAATTCCACCATATCACTGATTTCATGCCAAATTATGTTGTTAGCGAATGTATGCAACGTTAAATGACTTAATGGAAATATGTACATGAGAAAAGTGCGACAATGCGTAAACCAGATAAAAGTAGAAGGGTAGGACAAATTTGGGGTATTACACCCGCCAACAAAGACAATACAATTCCTATCCCTACTTCCACTACTGAGAATAAAGGAAAGAATGTTCAAGAGGATCCTGTCCAGACGAAGGCTCAATCACTAGCTATTCCTGAAACATACAAGAAGGAGATGGAAGAAATCCTGAGGATCATTAAGAAGAGTGATTATGATGTGGTTGAACAATTGGGGAAGACCCCTTCCAAGATCTCTATGCTAGCCCTGCTGCTGTGCTCTGAAGCACATGCCAAAGCTTTGGTCAAATTTCTGAAGATAGCTCATGTGCCACAAGAGACGTCTGTTGACCAGTTCGAAGACTGTGTGGCCAGTTTGACGGTTGATAATGGCCTGGGCTTCTCCGATGCTGACTTGACAGCCAGAGGGAGGAAACACAATGATGCATTGCATATCTCAGTGGAGTACAGAGGAACAACCCTAGCTGATGTCTTGGTTGATACTGGGTCATCTTTAAATGTCTTACCAAAGAAAGCCCTTGATAGGTTGGATTGCAAGGGGCTGACTCTAAAACCCATTAATATAGTGGTCAGAGCTTTTGATGGTTCGAAGAGGATGGTCCACGGGGAGGTGGACATCCCAATCAAGGTGGGAACTCAGGTTTTCAATTCAACATTCTACGTGATGGACATTCGTCCTTCTTACTCTTGTTTGTTAGGACGCCCCTGGATCCACAACACCGGTGCAGTAACCTCCACCTTGCATCAGATGCTCAAGTACCCCGTCCAAGGGAAGATCATAACTCTCCATGGGGAGGAGGAGTATATGATTAGTCATCTGAATTCCTTCCGTTATGTGGAGTTAGATGGCGAGTTCATAGAGACCCCTTTCCAACATTTTGAAGAAGTCTTTGAAGAAGTAGCGGAGACCAAGGCGGTATCCTTGACTCCTAAGATCACAAAACCTCCACCTCGGATGTCATCTCTCAAGGATGCAAGAGCAGTAGTGGAAGAAGGCGGATGCACAATCTGGGGTCAGCTTCCAGACATTCCTTACAAATCAGACAAGTTCGGCTTGGGGTTTACTTCGACTGGTCAGGAGGCTGTGCGCCGCGCCCGTGCTAGGGGGGCACCTGTGAAGATTACCAACCAAAGCGTAAATGCGGTAGAAGACAATGAAGAGGAGGGCAGCCTAGAAGATTGGACATTTCCTACTGTCAGCGCGGGACTTTGCAACTGGGAAGCCAAAGACTTTGTTCTGATAACTTTCATACCGTAGTAATTTATCTTTTACATTTCTGCTGGATTGTAATAATTCACAAACAATTCGCACTTTAAAAACCATGTATCTCACCCGAGGCACATCGGTCCATTTGTAAGGGTTTTTATTTCATCTACATATGTCATTCAATGAATCATGGACGCTTTTTCACATATAAACTTTTTATGCTCATTGTATTTCTTTTACATTTTATTGTTTTAAGATGGCTATACCCTTACACACACCCACACTCACAAATGCAGGTACCCTTCCATTCTGGATCCTATGGGTAACGATACTGCTATAGCCTTCAGTGACTCTGAAGATCTGATCTACCAAGCTAAATACGAAGGTGACGAAGATTGTGAGGTGCCAGGGGAATTGGCCAGATTACTACAGCAAGAGGAAAGAGCAATTTAGCCTCATGAGGAGCAGTTGGATACAATCAACTTGGGTACTGAGGATGATAAAAAGGAAATCAAGATAGGTGCCAATCTAGAGCCGAATGTCAAGGAGCGCCTAATTCAGCTATTGAATGATTATGTTGAGATCTTTACCTGGTCATACAAAGACATGTCGGGACTCGATACAGACATTGTGGTACACCGTCTACCCACAAGAGAAGATTGTCCACCAGTGAAACAAAAGGTCCGCCACATGAGACCTGACATGTCAGAGAAGATCAAAGCAGAAGTTATGAAGCAGTTCAATGCTGGATTTCTGGATGTTACTTCCTATCCATAATGGGTTGCTAACATTGTGCCCGTGCCTAAAAAGGACGGCAAAGTGAGAATGTGCGTGGATTATAGAGATTTAAACAGGGCCAGCCCTAAAGACGATTTTCCACTTCCACACATCGACATCCTGGTCAACAACACAGCTCATCACAAAGTATTTTCTTTCATGGACGGATTCTCAGGCTATAACCAGATCAAAATGGCACTTGAGGACATGGAGAAAACTACTTTTGTCACACAATGGGGTACGTTCTTCTACAAATTGATGCCATTCAGACTGAAGAATGTCGGGGCAACCTATCAACGCGCCATGGTAGCTTTGTTTCATGATATGATACATCATGAGATATAGGTCTATGTAGATGACATGATAGTCCGATCACAAACTGAAGAAGAACACCTGGATCACTTGCAAAAGTTGTTTGTCAGGTTAAAGGATTACAAGCTCAGATTGAATCCAAACAAGTGTACATTCAGAGTCCGGTTCGGTAAACTCTTAGGTTTCATTGTCAGCAACAAAAGCATCGAGGTTGATCCTGCCAAAGTCAAAGCTATACAAGAAATGCCTGCTCCTCGCACTGAGAAGGAGGTCAGAGGTTTTTTGGGACGCCTAAACTACATTGCTAGGTTCATTTCTCACCTAACGTCTACTTGTGAACCAATCTTCAAGCTGTTGAAGAAAGATCAAGTAGTCAAATGGAACGACGAATGTCAAGTTGCTTTCAATAAAATCAAGGAGTATTTGCTAGAACCTCTTGTCTTGATGCCACCCGTCGAAGGATGACCGCTAATCATGTATCTGCCTGTCTTAGAGAATTCAATGGGGTGCATACTGGGGCAGCATGACGAGTCTGGACGAAAAGAGCACGCCATTTATTACCTTAGCAAAAAGTTAACCGACTGTGAAACCAGATATTCACTGCTCGAGAAAACTTGTTGCGCTTTGGTATGGGTTGCTCGCCGGTTGAGACAGTATATGTTGACTTATACCACTTTGCTGATATCTAAGATGGATCCGATAAAATACATCTTTGAGAAGCCTGCTCTGTCTGGGAGGATAGCTAGATGGCAGATGATCCTAACGGAATACGACATACAGTACACAACCCAAAAAGCTATAAAGGGTAGTGTGCTAGCTGACCATCTGGATCATCAAGCTGTAGAAGATTATCAATCCATGAAGTTTGACTTCCCTGACGAAGACATCATGACATTGGACAATTGCGAAGAGATCAGACCATATGACGGACCTGAACAAGGATCCCGATGGACCCTGTACTTTGATGGGACCTCCAATGCACTTGGTAATGGTATCGGTGTTGTGCTTGTATCTCCAAAAGGATGCCATACTCCTTTCACTGCCAGACTTTGCTTTAACTGTACGAACAACATGGGAGAATATGAAGCATGCATCTTTGGACTCAAGGCCGCCATAGACTTGGAAATCAAATCCTTACGGCAAGAACATATTTTCTGGTGGGGCAATGATCTTAAGCACCATGGACGGCGAAGACCTGCCACACCATGTGAACGCAGACATAGTTAAAAGATACTACGCATAAATGACCCGCTAGGTTGACACACCTAGGCAAAACAAGGGCATCTCGGAGAACCAAAAAGGTTCGGGCAAAAATTAGGGATAAAATAAAAAAATATGTACACCCGACAAGTTGAAAACCCGAAAGGGCGACTTGGGCAAAAAAGGATTTCCCGGTGGACTGAAAACCCGAAAGGGCGGTCCAGGAAACAGTTAGGGAATTAAAGCGTATGACTATGTCTCGTCGGATCACTTTAAGGACAATCTCTTCACTGACAAACTCTAAGCTTTTGATCAATTCAAATCATCTTCGGACGAAGCAACGGATGGACAAGATATTCAGAGATGTGGAGGCTATAGCAGAATGGGAACCCCATGGGATTTTTACACATA